GGATTTCAGAGGTGAACAATTGATTGAGATTGAAACTTGGATTTCTTCACTCGATAAGATATCGCTCTATAAGGCTCTGTGAATAGCCGATAAGCCTAGTTAAAAACTCAATGAAATCGTTTAGACCTCTGACCACACGATGAACTTTTATCCGATTCTACCTGGTGAAACTCTTGAATACGGTGGATTTGAAGGTTTTCAAAGTTTAAATTTTGATCTTGTAATTGTTCACATTGTAGCATGGTCGAGTTCAGCAGGAAATCTTGATCTCTTTCCGTTTACCGAGTGCTCTGATGTTTCGGATTTTGGCCTGGATTTCTAATTTTAACCGCAATTATTTAAAATTAAAATTTATTGTATGACAAATAGTTTTACTTCAATGGGAGCATTTTGCGAGCTTTTGACGTATCGTTTCATGAATAAATCTCAATGAGAGTCTCTTTTGTTTTGAGTCGTATTATAATTTGGCTTGTATCTATCGTTTCCTTGTATCTTGTATCTATATAATAAACAATAATTAATAAATAAACATTTAAAGAATTTACCTTTAATTAAAACAAAGGGAAAAAAGAAAAATAGAATGAATTTAAGTCACTTTTCATTTTTGAATTTTTTTGATACTTTTCAAATACTTTCATTGCAGATACTTTTCAAAAATCGATTATTCAGGGCAACATTTGCGTGGAAGCTCAAAGGAATGGAATCACTTTCATCTTGAGAAGACAACATTTTACGTTTGTTTAATAAATTTTTGGACTTGTTAATGTATAACAACTTGGCAGCTGAAAATGACGCTGGTTGAGCACGCACTAGGGGAAGCGATATCTGATCACATTTCGAAGAAATGACAAATAGAGGACATCAAATTTGTGATGGAGGGGACATTGTGGTTAGTTGTGGGTGGTGCATGATTGCGTAACAGCGATATCAAAATCTCTACTACACTTTCTTAAATGTCGTTAAATTACACTTAACTTAAACTTAAATTAAACTACCGATGCTAAATATTGTAATAATATTAGAATAAGTACTAAGTCTTTCACCCCTCATTTCATCATCTAAATGAATGAGATGGATTATTCTGAAATGATTGGGCTAATGAAAAAAAACCGTATTTCATTTGGTAGCTTGAGAGTTATTCAATTAGAAAATGAATTTGGGTGCAAGATACCTACAGGGTGTCCCAAAAAAAGGCCTTTACAAACGGATTTTTTGAAAAAGTTTAAGTGGCTAGAGGTGGCATTCCTGTCAACACTATTTTTTCTGCCTCAATTTTTTGATTTTTTTTGAGAATTTTTTCATTATATGACTCTATTCGTGAAATTTTCAGCCACCATGTCACCACTACCAACGCCGTTGTACGCACATTTCTGCTTTTTCTTTTTCGTTTTTTTAAAGAGCACAACGGCGTTGGTAGTGGTGACATGGTTGGCCACGGAAAACGAATGGAATCCCCGCTATTTCGGTGTGTTCAATCCGTCGATCTCCGGACACGCGCGCTGTATTTCTAATCAGTTGGAGTTTCTTGTCAGAGAGATCGATTCGATCTACGATCAAACAAACTTGTTGATGCTTGGCGCTTGTGCGCATCGACTTTGCTCGGAATAAATGTTCCGACAAAAGCGAAGAGCCAAATAAGGGTTACTGTATAAAAGAGTACTATCTATGACATTTTGCAAATGGGAGCAAAACGACGAAATTGTTAGACAGAAAAACAAAAATCATCTTTTCAAATGAGTTACAAAAAAATTCCAATGAAAACGTTTTGACTTGTTATTTTTGGATGAAATATTTTTATATTTTAATGAAATTCAATTTCATTCTACAAAACAAAAAGGAGGTGTAGTTTAAGCTGTGCAGTTTGCAGTTTAAGCCGTGTAGTTTAAGGTGGCTCAGCACTATCTTGAAGGAGTAGCGTCTAAAACGTTATTTCTTCAATTAAGTTCTTTTTTCAAAAGTTTTCCCCATTTCAAACCTACCAGATAATCGGCAAAGCGAGATTTCTTAGCTTTTCTGGTAAGATGTTCTTTCCACCTCTGATTTACGAGATTTGTCGCTTCAGCCATTGCTTGCTAAACAAATTATCAATAAAATAGCTGATATAAATGTAGTCTGTAATATTAATAATTGTCAAAAATGTGTAAAACCATTGATGTCGAGCTTTGCCTAATTAAAAGTAAGTAAACTAGACCTTATTTTGTTGTAATCTAGCTCGTATATTAAAACCGACTATGTATTAGAGTCAGAAATCAAAAAAAGTAAACCTGAATCGGTAGGAAGACCTCATTCGCGTAAACCTCGACGATGATGTTGATGGTGAGCTCTTTGTGCACAGAGGGGTTTGCTTTGAGAATCTCGTCTTTTTTCACTTTGAATTCCTGCTTGATCCTATTGAGCTCTCCATTAAAAGAACGATGAATTAACTATAATTAGTCACATTTATTGAATCCATGTTTCTGAAAGTCTCACCTCGGGTTTCTCTTTTCCCCAAAGATCGAGCTCTTTGGCGATCTGAAAATTTATAAGCTAAACTTTTATCAATATAATGTATTTATTTTAATGCACAAAGGAAGTCTCAAATTTAAAAAAACTAATTACAGTAGAGATATGGTAGATAACTAACTTTAAGGGCGAATAGTTTTCAAAAGGAGACTCCTTACTTTTAAAATGTTTTCGGTTCCTCGACGAGCAAGTTGCTTTGCAAAATCTGTGAACGCATCTCGAATTTTGATTAAACGAGATGACCCCAAACACTCCTCAAAGGCTTCCTATAAAATTTGTTTCCACTAAATGAATGTAATCAACTTCAATTTTTGTCTCCTGTACTCGTGTGATGAAGAGTAGTTTCGTCATTGCTGGTTGGCTCAAATCGTGATCTGGAGATTAAAATTGAGGTAAATGTTTTGGAAAAGTTGAATGCTTACTTTCAAAGGCAGCCTCTTTAAGTTCGCGTTGCTTTGTTTTCAGCTCGGCTTTGAAAGCGTTGTGCACGTTTTGCACCTCAGAAACAGCTCCGCGAAGGCTTTTCTAAAAAATTATTGATTTTTGTTTACAAATATTTTTATAATTTACAAAATGAACGTATCACTTACCATTTGCTGCTTGTGCGCTGCGCAAAGCTCGACAAGCATCGCCTCGTAGGCGAGAAGGCGCAGTTGCTCAACTTTCTTCTCGAGTTGGGGCTAAATTTCAGCTATTTACCGACTTTTTAGTGAATTTAGTTTTATTTGATTGATTATATTAGACAATTTTTTTTTGTTTGCAGGATTCCCTATTAACTTATAAGCCCTGGGTAAGAACTCACCTGACAGAGCTTATGGAACTTGAGGATTTCTTCAGCCACAAACTCATCTGGTTTTTCTTGCAGTCTTTCTCGAATTAGCTAGAATTTTTCGTAATTCATCACTTCACATCACAAGTTTTACTTTTTCAACTTTTCTAAACGAAAAATTTGAGTAAACTTTCAAAAAGCACCTGGTCTGCCTCTTCTTGCAGTTGTTTGAGGGTTTGGAAATTCTTTTGAAGATCCCCGTCTTGAATCTAAAGTACATAATTGGTTTGTTTTGTTTACCGTTAAGTTAAGTTTACAAAACCAAATAAAGCTTAAAAGTAAAGGAATTCAGAAAACGCAAACTTCAATGACGTGAGCGATAAATTTGGTGTAGGCCTCGGTGGTTGCTTGCATGGCAATCAGCTGCCAGAACATCTAAAAACGAAAATAGTTCGTGTTTTTAGAGATTTTCAAACATTAGTTAATTAAAATTGCACACATTTCTCTATTTTATCGTTCGAACTTTCGCATTTTTCCTATTTTGTATCTAGATAATATATATGTCGTAGCCGATTATGAATGAAATTTTTTAGCAAATCTTTCTAGTAGAGCAACCCTTTAATGTATGAGGACAATATTATATCATCTTGTAGCGAATTCAATTCTGCGTCGATTGGTACCAAATTTGTGAGTTTAGGTTAAAAATTGCCGGCGCTACAACGTTTCATTCAAAATCGGCGGGACCCCCGTAGCCGATTATGAATGAGTGGGTCTAGGAGCGTCCAACCATCAAGTATTTGGTATCATTCAACGCAGAATCATTGATAATTATGTTAAATTTTTTAAATTAGAAAGATTTGATAAAAAGGAAAAAAATTAGAGCAAAAAAACTGTTTGTTCAAGAGAAAACTTTGAAGCCCCATAATTTGTGTTCTTTTTATCCAATCTTTCTAATTTAAAAAATTTAACATAATTATCAATGATTCTGCGTTGAATGATACTAAATACTTGATGGTTGGACGCTCCTAGACCCACTCATTCATAATCGGCTACGACATATAGGCACTTTTTCCGAAATAAATAGAAGTCGTAGCCGATTTCCAATTTCAGTCGATTTATTTACAATAATTGCAAATTAACTAGCGAAAAAATTTCATCACCAATCGGCTAATCGATTTACAGTCATTGACTGAAATTGCAATTCGCTTGCGACATATTTATATATCGATTTACCTCATAACTCTTTCGAACATCATTTGTCTTCAGTTGGCTGGCATTTTTGGCGAAAGTCTAAGCTTTAGCTTGTTAACTCTTTTTAGATCTTCTTTTTTCAGTGTACTGTGCAAAAGCTTTATTAAAGAAATCGAAAAAAAATAACCTTGAAATGAAGGAAACGACCTTTTGGACGATGTCGCTGCATCTCTTTGATATCGCCTTTCAACAAATGCAGAAACTCTTTAAAAACGCCCAAATACAGGGACATCGTTTCGTCGACTAAAGATAAATAAGGAGAAAAGTTACGTTTAGACGGGGATCACTTGTAGACGAGCCATTTCCGAGAGTGATCGGCGTGAAATAGGAGGCTTTCTTAACGGCGTGATCTAATGGATAATGTTCGTAGATTAAATTAACGAGAGAGAATTTATGCTAATTTTAATCCTCGATTTAACAAATAAGCGCATTCGATTATTATGTACTGATTCGAGATGTACACAGCAACTGACTATTATGTTCTTTCACTCATTCTGGCACCACCGATGCCGGAGAAATGGCCAGCCAACCCCTTTAAGAACAGCAAATCAAAAACTGCAACATTAACTTGTCTGTTTATGTAGTCCGAACATTTTTTGACCTTTTTTGACAGTTTTTCAGTAAATTTTACAGTGCTTTTGTTTTTTTCTGTTCTCTAAACTCAATCTGAGCAAATCAGTTTATTAGCATTAAAAAATTTAGGTATTTTAAAAGAGAGAAGCAAATTACATTTACGTTGATCAGCAAAAAAAATTTCGTGTTTTGGATAACTCGAACAAATATAGGCACAGCATCCACCATCACGACAATTTGAGCACGTGTGACAGACGCCTCGCCCCTTGCCATTAATGTCTCCAAAGTAATCACGTTTGTTGCGAAGTTTTGGTTGATAGGGAGTGATGTTGATTCGTTGACCGTCAACTTCTATCGGACAGACCACAATGGAGTCATGTACCACTCACAACTAACCACAATCTTCCCTCCATCACAAATGCGATCAGATATCGCTTCCCCCAGTGCGTGTTTAACCAGTGCCATTTTCAGCTGCCAAGTTGTTATACATAAATTTAACAAGTTCAAAAATTTATTAAACAAACGCAAAATGATGTCTTTCCAAGATGAAATCGGGTCTATCCCTTTCAGCCTCCACGCAAACGTTGCCCTAAATGACCGATTTTTGAAAAGTATCTTCCCCTAATCGTTTCACCGTTCTTTCCAACAAACTTAAAAGGAAACTGAATTAATCTTTTACCAATCAAAAATGTGGAATATTGAAACGACAAAAAAAAAAATACTAATAAAATTTATTATAAACAGCATAAAAATAATAATAATAATGAGTTTTGTTGATTTTGTACGAGATTTTCAATGACGCGGAGAGATGCCAATGTGAAATTGAGAGAAGTTGCCAAATCGCACCATCATCCACCCGAGAAGTGATGGAGGCAAAAGGCAATTGTGGAGAAGGGACGGAGATTTGGAGTACAACGTGAAACCTAGTATTTGAATAAATACACAAAAGTACACATTCGAAAAAAGCTCTTATTACAACACCAGCTTGAAGCAATTCCTTTTTTTCTTAGCCCACCCTAAAGCTCTGACTATAGTACAGAATAAAACTATTTTGAAAATTTGATAGTCAAAGCTCTTTGGTGGTTACATTTGATGCTACCTATTCGGGTAAAAACAGGGTGAAATAAGCTTCTACCTGAACTCAAAGCGATGATAAAAAAGAAATTCAGAAATTTCAGGATAACACCCATATCGAAAAACTAAAGAAAAACAAAAGAAACTATAGATCACGGTCATTTTTATAGCCATATACATTTTAAAAAGTCACAAAATGAGAGTTTTAAAGACGGTTTTTGGTTTTATCGGAATCTTCAATATTTTTAGTTTACGCATACACCGTACGTTTGACTTTATTATAATTTTAAAACTTTTCAACCTGAAAATTATCCAAAGTAACAAAGTGGTCGAGAGTCGAAGCTTAATATCGCCTTCGGTCGTGATCCCTGAAAACCAAAAAATGTTTAGACTAAAACCCAGCAACTAACCTGCTACGAGAACGAGAGCGACGATATCGCTTCCTGTCACGTTCACGAGATCTACAAAAAGTTTGTTACTTTGACGCATTCGTAAAAACATACCGACTACGACTGCGTTCACGCCTATGTTTACGGCTACCACCAGAGGAAGCCTTAGTTTCAATTCCAGCAAGAGTGTCCTAAAAGCAAAGACAATAAACTAAAGTTATTGCAAAAACACAACCTGAAGACTGGAGATCAACAGCTTGCAGCGATCATCATGTGCTACTTTGGATTGTTTGATCAGTGAAATAGCAGTCAATAGTGTTTCAATTGCACTATCGACATCCCCTGTTGCTGCATCGGAAACCTATAAAAGCAAGGCTCAATGACACTATTTCAGCTAAAATTCATTATTTGCTACAACTTACTGCTCTACTTATGGCCGAACTAGACACCGTGCGATTTCTGTTCATTACTTCCTCAAATTCCATGCCCGACATAGATGCATCGCCTAAGTAAATTCGTAACTTAAAAAGCAGCAAGATGTAAACAAACCTCCGGGTCTCATTCCACCCATTGACATTGGCTGCCCAGGTGGGCCGCCCATTTGAGTGTATCCAGGATAGACTTGTGGATTTATATGTGCACCGGGAGGTATTCCTGGAGGGCCTGGTTGAGGAGGTAGACGAACACCCATTCCTGGAGGTCCACCCATAGACATCATGCCTAAAGAGGGAATATTAGCTAGAAAGACTTGAAAATAGACTCAAAACTTTAAGTTGTTACCTGGATTCATAGGCATTCCAGCAGGGCCACGGTTCATCATTGGAGGTGGAGCACCCATCCCTAGATACGTTGTATACAGCGTTTATCAGAATAGTAAAAAGTGTTTAAATACCTGGGGGCACACCGGGCGGAGCTGTAGTCATTTGCGGTGGGACGCCAATTCCAGGTGGAGCTCCCATTGGCATAGAATTTGTCATGTGTGGGTTCATCATAGAGCGAGGCCCGACTGCTCCTCCTGCAACAATAAAATGCTCATCGGTTAAAACTTGATATAGCAACAATATAAAATAACAACAATACCTGTGATAAGCGACATGAGAGGTGCTGGTGAAGGTCCAACAGATGCTCCGCGTCCCATCATTCCACCAGTCATTACCGTAGGAAGTGCTGAAGCGCAAAATAAGCTACATTGTACAACAAAAAAATTAACTCGCGAACTATATTACTAAAAACCACTTACAGATCTTCACTTGCGGCAAGATGTTAGCTGCTTGCATCCCACGTCCAGCAGACATTGGTGGAGGTCCGGCTCCAATCCTGATCGTACCCATATTGATCACTGATCCATCCTAAATCATCTAGTTTTACCATAACACCCCAGCAAGAAAATACCTTTTTCTTCATTGGATCATTAGCAGCAGCTGCCTAAATTTGATTTATCCAAAAATACTTCGACAAGGCACTTTTTAGTGCATGTGCACCTCACCTTTGCAGCCGCGTCTTCAAACTTTTGAAGTGATGCTTTCGTATATGGTAACACCTAAAACTCAATTAAAACACGCAACTTTTATACCAATGTAAACACTTTGAAAACCTACAACAAGGGTTTGGCTATGGATGGTACGCTTTGGCAATTCTGACATCAATGTCGATACTGACACCTCAGATCCAAAAACAAGAAGGCAATAACCCTAATTCCAACGTTATTATTATTATTTTGGACAACAACAAAACCTTGCTTTGCCCATTTGTGCGATTTTCGTAAAACTTCATATCGACGAAATCAGAAATTCCCAAATCTTCGAAAGCATTCTATAAAAAAATATGAGTATAGAATTCGAGTATAAATAAACCAATAAATCGAGATCTGTCGTCCACCAAGTCATATTTCCAACATAGCAGCAATATTTTTTTCCTCCAGTGTCTCGGCTTGCTGATGAGCCATTTGTCGTCGTTGTGGAAACATTCGTGAAGCTCTAAAAAGATTGCAAAGTTATTTTTACGTACAATTTATAAGTAAATAATGCGCTCACCTCACTTCTATGGTCACTTCCGTGCAAAGGTTCAATTACAGCGTCATAGAGATCGTCTTCCTTTTTTCTGAATCAAAATAATTATTCTAGAACACAAAAAAAATTGTATTTACAGGTCTCCGAGCAATTCGTTTTCATCAGGTATCTCGGAGTGTGAGATGTTTTCCCCGTCAAGTAGGTCGGCTTCATTTAGCTCACTCATCCTTAAAAACAATAGAATCTTGAAGTTAACCTTTTATAATGAAGCTCTGCAATGGAATATACACAAAATTTCAAATTTTGCAATGTACACAGCAAAATACGAAAGAGAGTCGATAGATGCGGGAAGCGCGCAGAAAGCGATGGTCACAGTTTAGAACGCACTACCAACTTGGATCCAATTACAAAGACATTTGTGGTCATGTCTTATAAATAGGTTTCACGACCGGTTCTTTGATAATAGGCTCTTTAAAATCCAAATTACACCTATAACTATAACAGAATGTTTCAAACATACCGATCTCAAATTAAAATTTTAAAGAGCACTAAAATTTATTCAGAAAGGTGCAAAAAAATCATATCACAAAGAATTTCGACTTTTATAATATAATTTGCATCGGAGTAAAATCGAAAGAAGCTATTGCAAGTGAACGAAAATTTAGAAGAGAATACCAGCCACTCAAGAAAAAAGGCCGAATTCGAAAAACACAAATAGACAAGAAAGAAGCGAGTAATCTTAGCATTTGTTTCATTTGGTAACTGTCTCGATAGCGTGGTGCGAAGCGGCTTTGGGGTAGTGCTGAATAAGCCACGGATGAGCCATAACTTCCTTCAATGACAAACGCTCTTCGGGCTCGATGCGAATGATTTTGTTGATGAGTTCCTTGGCACCAGCCTCCATCGAATCTGGTAACTAAATGTAACCATAATACGTATGCAAGCAAAGCCTCATTCGATTCTTGTCAAACGTTTTAATTGCATCGAGATTCAAAATGGCAAGTTACTTTAAAATGACAGCGCTTGATGCGGTCGATCGTCTCAGATTGCGTTGGGACTTCGAATGGGGCCTTACCAACGAGGCACTCAAACATCAGTATTCCGACGCTCCAGTTGTCAACCTAAACTTGTTGTAGGATTGTAGGATTGTAGGATATGTGGCAAACTCTACTTTGTGCGTATGTGGCATTTGTGCGAGCATCTCAGGTGGCAGGTAGTCGAGGGTTCCGCATATCTGAATTTACACAGATTAATAAAACAAGAGTTTTAATTTTTTTTTTTCTTAATATAGTCCACTAAACAAAGGAAAACTTACAGTTGCACGCTTTACACTACCATCGTGCTGGACGGCCCACCTTAAAAAAACAAAACCTTTGCAAAAAATGAAGAAGTTACCCAAAGTCTGAGAGCTTGAGATCACCATTCTTGTCGATAAGCACGTTTTCAGGCTTGATGTCGCGATGTATAACGTTTCGCTCATGGCAAAAATCGAGCGCACTTGACAATTGATAGATGTACCTAAACATTCAATTATATTCTTCGACGATCTGAAACAAACTTGGCCGTATCTTCCTGATTAAGTCGTCCTCTTTCTTTCAAGATGCGGTAGAGCTCTCCCCGTTGACAGTATTCCAATACAATGTAGACTCGTTCCGCGTCGTGAAAGTAGCCATAAAGACGGAGAATGTTTGGATGTCTAAAAAAGTAATTTTTTTTCGCTAAACATTAGAGCTATACCGCAGATGATATTGGATTTCCACTTCGCGGCGGAGTTGATGAGGTACATTGAGGCGAACCAATTCCTTCTTGAAAAGAACCTTCAGAGCAACTACGTAGCCTGACGCGTTTTCTTTTCCCAAGTAGACGTGGCCAAACTAAAAGTAGAAATGAAAAATGGTTATCTGATTAGAAGAGTCCAGTATCGCCAATAACAGCCTACGCTCTCAAAACACTTTATCCAAGAGTAATGACTATATTTTTCAATTTGTCAAGAACCCGACATTCTTACTTAACGATTCTCGTAACAAAGGATTTTGTCAAAAACGTAATATCAACTTTCTTACCCGTCCTTTTCCAAGTGGCCGTCCAATTGCAAAGTCGTTGAGGGTCCAAGACATTTTCGTTGTCTCTCCAGCTTGCCGCGCAATCTCCTTGTTTTCGGTCAGTCTTTCTTTTTCCAGGCTCTCTTGCCTTTCCGTTTGGATGTTGTTGGCCTTTTCCTTCAGAAGCGGAGACGCCATTTATCTAAATGTAATGAATCGGAATATTAAGGGGCAAGTTACAGAAAGGCGACAGAAACAAAAATGGTTTAGTTTCAAAAAAATGTACACAAACAATGAGTTGCAAGCAATATGCATTAAAAAGAACGATATGCGCATGAAAATCTTAGCAATTTTGAAAGCCGGCAAGTGTAAGTAAAGTGAATTCGATCAGCTGGCAACAGCCCTTTTGGTACTTTGGTGGTTGAGGGGGAGGGGGTTTGTGAGCGTTTAGCCATAGTAGGGGGTGTACCTAGGCCGGCCCGGGTTGGGGATGGGTGCTACAAGCTCTTTGGGAAGTAATTGGGGCTGAATCTGAGCTACCTCTAAAGAGCTTGCAGCATCTGCCACTACCGCGGGCCTGCTTAAGTGCATCCCCCCAAGTAAACTGTGAGTAGAACTTTTGAGGGCGAAAGTCAGTTTTTTTTAAAAGCAAATCTATGTTAAAAATGCGAAATTCCTGCTCAGCTACTCGATTATCCTGGAAAAAGTGAAAAGCTTGAAAATATAGGTGGCCTGCTCCACCTACCAAAGTACCACCCCTTTTCCCGCCACAAAATTTCAAAAACGGAGCCCGGAAAAGGAAAAATTGAAGAATGAAAAGAATGAATTTGCAAGCTTTCTTTTGTTCTTATATAAAGCTAAATTTGCGGAAATAAGTATTCAGTCCAAAAATTGAAGTTTTTTGTCGAATATTTTAAAAAAATATATCTATTTAAGGGTCGGACAAAAGGTAGATCCCTTGACTGAATATCTTGAAATATGTGGTAACATTGGCTAAAATAATATAAAACTTGCAATAACACACATTTTGGCTTCTCCCCATATTTAACCCATTGTAGCTAGTCAGTAGGCTTTGTGAAGTGATCACCAACAGTTACAAAATAAAACGAAGCCTGTAAAATTTTGTAGTCCTACAAATGAAACTTTGATAATTGAGGATGTGACGCCCTCCACCATGTTTCTAGATGAACTTTTTATATTAACTTGATTTATGGGGACTTCTGCGAATTCTATCGCTCTTGCCCTATTTGGCTGAATTGTCTTTCTTCAATAGTGTCGCAATGGTTTAAAAACTTTATTTTATGTGTTAAAAGTGAAGTTGATAAGTGACAAAACAAACAAGACAAGTGACAAGTAAACAAATTGAAATACTTATGAGGGAAAAAATAAGTACATAATCGATTAACGTACAAACAAGATAAAAATAAATAAACAACGCAAATTAAAGTTAATAAATCAAGTCGAAGAATCGAATTTTCGATGCATTTACTCGTCATTGTTGTCTTCAAGCACGGCACGTGCTCGACGGGCATTTGCGTAAACTTCCTTTCGGTCCTTTCGATGTTTGGCTTAAACGCACTTTATTAAAATCAAAGCAAACATACTTACCGTCAAGGTTTTGTTTTTCCATCAATTGTTTATTGTCCGCCACCCGATTCTTTATCAAAAGCTTTTCTGTCACTCGACCCGGTTCAACCCCGACAAGTGTCCATCCCTAAATTGAAAATAGTTTTACTCATGTAAAAGCTAATGTTAAACCTTGCTAGTTGGGCTCATCTCATAGATTGGCCGCTCGCCCAAAGCTCCATTGAGTCTTGGGACACGATTTCTTTTTGGATACCGACGACCGTCACCGGGCTGTGATAGTTCTAAAATATCTAATCAGTGTACTACAAAAAAACACTAACCAATCTTTGGTGGAACCAATATCAAATACTCTGGTTCATCGTTTCGGGCCTTAGTTGCCCGGATGTGGACGATTGTTGCATCAGAACAGCTACCCATGGTGCTATCTAAATTGCCCAATTCATTATGCTTATTAAAACTGCGCTAAACCTCCACCGCCTGTAGTTACATTGAAATCATCCGTATTCTGAACCGCTGATCTAATTAATTTTTCCGGCAAGGCCTCAAGTGTTTCCTTTCCATTATCTAGCGAATCCGAACCAACATCATCGTCATCGCTTAACAATCGGAGTGGGGCATTGGGAACTAAAACGCATGTTTTGTAAGCAATAACAACCACAAACCATTTTGATGCGTATTGGCTGGCTGCGTAATAATCGTTTTCTCGCCCGATAAGAAGTCAAGTGATTGCATAATTGGCACCCCAGTGTCGCTAATTGTTTCTAAATCAAATAAAAACTTAAATGATGTTTGCGTAAAGTCGCACCTTGACTCGCATCAAATGAAAGCTTGGGAACATCTCTGGAATTAACAGCTTGACCCGATCTTTTGAATTTCAGAGTTTTTCCATCTGGTAACGGTGCAGCGAGCAATGAATAACCTAAATATCAAAAGTACAAAGCAACTTAAAAGCGACCCACTAGCACTCTTGGGCTTCATGGGCGTGACAAAATTGTAGGGGTTAGGAACAGCACGTGCTTCACAATTATCCTAAATTTTTATGTGTCATAAAATCTAATAAAGAGTTACCACCTTTGAACAACCTTGCTTTGGGGTAGACAGTCGATCAAAAAGTCCACGCGCCGTCCCGTGAGGACTCTTATTTTGATAACTTTTTGTTCCCGGTGTCAATTGTAGACGTTTCAATGGCAAACATACGCTGCTGTTCATAGCTTGACTTTCGGCTTCAACTATAGCAGGACTAAAACATCTAAATTTAAAAATATAATAAAACAGCTTCTACCTGCCCTTCAGATGGAGTTTGTTCACGGCTAAAACCATTGGAGCCGTCGAATATCGAATTGGTGGAGCGAAGTTTTTCTTCGGTGCCTCCAGTACTTTCATGTTTTTTTGCGGTTCCAAAGTTTTGGCATTAGGAAATTGATAATAGCTGCTTGTATCGACCTAAATTATATTTACCTACAAAGATGATAATTTTATGGCTAGGTGATGCCGTAGTAAATAATGTAAAGCCACCTCCATATCTTCAACCGTCGGCTGCTCTTTGGGAAGGAAATGTCGTGCGCTTTCTCCGAGCCTTGAATCCACAAACACATTCTCGTTACATCCATCCAACACCATAATCGATGATTCATCAAGCGTCATCACTGGTGGCATGCGAGAATTGTTTGGAGTAGATTGACTTGGCAACCCTAAACATCAAAAAATTCCTGTTGTATATAGAAACAGATCCTACAATTCATCGTTGCTGACTTGGCTCGTTTTTCCTCGTTCTTTCCAGTTGCAAGCTTGCTGGTCAGTGTTTTCTCAGGATCAAGACGACTGAAATCGTTGTCGGAGATGTACTGAACTTCGGAAAGACGATTCGCAATTGACTCTTTGATTGGATTGAAAGGTCCACCAAGAACTGCACATTCCTAAAATAAAAATTAGTGGCGAAATATACAATATAAATATTTACATTATCATATTTGGCTCGATTCTCCGTGATTACTTCTTCTCTGCTCTTTTTTTTCTCTGGAACCATTGTCGTTGATGCAACAGAAGTTAAATCGTTGTCAGAGATGTATTCGACATCCGAAAGCACATCGTTGATATCATCCTTGATCGGATTGAAAGGTCCACCCATTCGCATACACTCCTAAAATCATAATGTACAGGTAAGTATACTTTTAAATTATACCGCATCGTATGTCTTTCGCGCTTGAGCAACCAATTCCGCTCGTGATGGTTTTCTTTCAGCGGGTGGTGGTACTAAACGCAAATTTTTCAATACAAACACAAAAAAATTGTAGAGGAATTATTTTTTTACTGTCCCCCAAATTTTATTAGCACCAAATAGCTTAGCTATTAACAAATTATAAACCAACCGTTTTGTGATTCCTCCCATTCCGATGTGGTGTCGTATTTCGTTCGGTCAAACACGTGCCCCGACATTGCTTGAGCGTGCTCCAACGAAAGGAACACCTTTCCTCTAATGATTTGTCGGGGCGGCCTTTTCTCCACTTCCGCGTCCATTTTCTCTCTAAAGAAATCAAAAATTTGTCACAGAAAATTAAAGATAAAATCAAAAGTCCAAAAAAGAGAGTTTTGAGGGTTTTTCGTTTTAAATAAATAAAGAGTAAGCGAAGACAATTTGAAATGTTTGATTGCCGTCAGTTTGTTTGTAAACTGTATCGCAAAGTACTCTACCCGCTGTCGCACATAGCATAGCCTGTTTCATGGTAAGGTAAATCCTGAGCACAAAAAGATAGCAATAATGCGTAAATGTTAAACAGTTATATAAACGAAAGCCGCATAATAACAAAAATGTTAATTTGACTTTTTAAACGCAAATCAGAAAATTAATTACTGAATTCTGCATTAACTGGCTCCTGAAAAACTCCATTGTTTACTGCACTATCAGAAAAAATGTTCTTGTAAAGTTTACGAGGTTTTTGAAGTCTTTCAGCATATCTCTTTGAGTTTAAACTTATTTTTATATCTAAGGTTGGGATTTTTAAAAACATTTTATGATCAAATGATAAGGGAACTGATTCTACGTTTTAAAAACAATTTCAGTCGAGTTGCCCTAGATCAATTCGCATCAAAAGGGTAATTTTGAGGCATCATAAATAATAAGCTTTTGTGGATACAGGAACCGATCCTATTTCTATTGATTAAAATTATTTTAGAAATCTCAACCTTAGATATAAAAATAAGTTTAAACTTAAAAGAAATAGCTCGAAAGACTTCAAAAACCTCGCAAATCGTAAACTTTACGAGAACCAAAAAAATGTAAAAAGGATTAGCTGGCCGGTACTTGTGTTTTATCCATCGATTTGTTTGTTATTATCGTGCTTAGTATATAATGCTTATTTCCGTAGCTTTCACTGTGTAAAGTATTTTACTAAACAAACGAAATCAAAATTGTGCAAAATTGAGTATAAAAAGAGAAATGGAGTGACAACGGAAAACTCTTCCATCTTCCGAAAAAGGAAATAGTTTTATTTTTGGGGAAGTCTACATTCTGTATTCAAATAGGAAATCCTCGCAAAAAAAACGAGAAAAGGCTACATGTAATGTACGTGTTTTTTTGGGTACCTGAATGCAAAAAGAATAAAACTAACAGATAGATAGAAAACTAAATCTTTCTCTCACTATAGCTATAACAAAGAAGGGCACCTATATGAATGAACACCAGAGAAGGAATTCAAATGTGGATGAAAAGGGGATGAGTTGCGAGAATGAGATTTTCAAATTCATTTTGTGAATGAGCAACAGGGGAAATGAAGAAGTCAACGAAAAAAAAAAGATTATTTCATAAAATATTTGAGAGAGATTTAATGGAGAAGGTGCTTGAAAGTGAGTTGGTGAAACAATTTGAACTAAAAACTTTTGCCTAAGCACTGTCTGGGTTCAAAATTTGCTCAAATTTATCTATTTGACAAATTTCAACGCGTGACTAAACCCATTTACCACCTTTGATCCCACTAGATGCCTTTCCAACTTGCTGGGCTTGCCTTTCCAACTCTAAATCCAATCTAATCCAATCTAAAACTAAAACTAAAACAATTCATTCAACTAAAATTCATTCAACTCCTCAATTTCAATCAAATCTCTCTTTTTTTTGTATAAAACTTTTCCAAGCCTCTTGGCACTTCTTGATGATCAAAAACAACAAAAAAAAAGACATAAACAAAATCAAAAGATGAATGAAAAATTGTGTATGAAAGGCAAATTTGCAAAATGAGAATGAGAGAAGATAAAAAAAAATAAAGAAAATAAAAAAACAAAGAAAACAAAAAGGATTAGCCACCGGTATGAGCAAAAATCGGGGAAGAAAATGGGAAATATTTTGTGAATATAAAAATCTGAAGATAAAATTCTATAAAAAAAAAGTGCTAGCGATTCTTTTAAGAGTAGATTGTCACCACTTCGGCACCCGTTCCTGAAAAGTCGATTTGTTTGAGTGAGTTTACTGTAGTCGGTTAGTTTCAGTCTCTCAAATAGTTACAGTAATACCAAACCGTTTTACCACTCCTTAACTCCTTCAATAGTTACAGTATAGCTATAGTAGTACTTACTTACAATACTTACTTTTGGTTACTTTAATAGTTACACTACTCCTTCTCAAACAGTTACAATAGTTTCTCCAATAATTCTAGTTATACAAAGCGGTTTAGTAGTTACAGTATCCTTGGCTTCTTTAATAGTTACAGTAACATTTAGGCCCTCTAATATTTAATAGTTACAGTAATTCTTAACAAAATCTTCATTTTTGAGATTTTCGAGATTTTAAGAAGTCCAAAAACGAACCACGGACGAGGAGAACCCGATCGAGTTTTTCTGTGAGAGCCTCAATAAACTCCATATCTAAAATCCCATTCATTATCCATTTTTCTTCATTTCACACTCACAATAAGTATCACTATCGTTATCGGGCGGGCCTGGCAAATTGACAATGACAAGTTGTGCGAGTTTCGATTCCCTTTGCATCAATTCGTTCAATTTGACAGCTGTGTGCATTTTATGAACATTGTATTGTCTCCGTCTCGTCAACTCGTCGCCCGTTCGTCGACCACCGTTTTGTTTCTAGAATTGAGTTGAGTTGCTTGTTGGTAGGTAAGCTGTCACTCTTCATACAGTACCATGTTCCAAGTTCGGTTGTTTCAAAGCCTGACTACCGTATATCGGATGTAATTTGATTCAACTACCATCCCCGGCTGTCCCATGCCATCCCCAGCTCTTGCCATCCCCAGTTCTTGCCATCTTTTCCCATCCTTTCCCCAACTAACCGGTGGCGGAGAGCTATCATCGGAGAATCGTACCCCTCTCGATTCTCTTCTTTCTTTTCCTTCTCCATCTTCTTTTTTCTCTTCAAGACTCGATGGTGATTCAAGCGGAGATTCTTCTTGTTTCTCTTCTTTTACTGTTTCCATTCTCTCCATTGGCATACCACCCTGAAATTTGTTTCATCATTATCAATGATTATTAAAAAAAACACTCCAAAGATGCAGGGTGTGTAAGATTTTAACGACAAAGAAAACGACTTAGGCTTTCGGGGAAAGCTTTTCTAACATTGAACGGAACTTTTGTAAAGGCAATAACAATGGACACTGTCTACACAAAAATGGGAAGAAATGAAGACGTTAGAAATCTGAATAACATAGGGATTGGATTTGCTTTTTTCTATTTTGTGCAAAGCTGAGGACACGGAGCGCATGCTTTCATCGGAAAATGATTTTTCTGATGAATTCGAAAGTTGAGTTTCTTTTTCTTTTTACTACCTGTGGATCTGTACTGGACTGTCGTCCCATCACCTGTGCCTGAACAAAAGAACAAGACTTTTACGGTTTCGATTTGAGGATATTGTTAGAGTTAACAAGAGGGTTAAGGATACAGTAGTCTCACTACAGTAACTAAGAGTTCTCTTGACTAATAATTGAAAGATATTCAAAGCAAAAGCTATTCAGTCTTGACCTTAACTAAAAGCTATCCAGCTTCAGCTATCCAGCTTCAGCTATCCAGCTTCAGCTATTCAACTTCAGCTATCCAGCTTCAACTATCCAGCTTCAACTATCCAGCTTCAACTATCCAGCTTCAACTATCCAGCTTCAACTATCCAGCTTCAACTATCCAGCTTCAACTATCCAGCTTCAACTATCCAGCTTCAACTATCCAGCTTCAACTATCCAGCTTCAACTATCCAGCTTCAACTATCCAGCTTCAACTATCCAGCTTCAACTATCCAGCTTCAACTATCCAGCTTCAACTATCCAGCTTCAACTATCCAGCTTCAACTATCCAGCTTCAACTATCCAGCTTCAGCTATCCAGCTTCAGCTATCCAGCTTCAGCTATCCAGCTTCAGCTATCCAGCTTCAGCTATCCAGCTTCAGCTATTCAACCTCAGTCCTTTATCCAGCCAACTGTAGTGAGAAAAGGGCTTGGTAATGTGCTAACTAATAGTAAGTAATTTTCACATTGAGGGAAACTTATAAGATAATAAAATCTAATCAAAGGGTACAAGGGGTTAAAGATACGGCAAAGTTGCACTCGGTCAAGAAAAAAGTGTTCAGCTTATAGGATTCTCTTTCAATTAAAACAAAAAAAACTATCCAGCTAAGCAGAGTACTTTTACGCGGCATACTGTCTCTTTAAAATAATGCTTACAGTAGCTTTGAAAATTGAAATCAAAGACAAAGGTATTGCCCTTACCACTTCATCTTCATTGATCCGACTGAGCTTTCTTTCACGCACAACCTCGTCAACTCGTTCCTAAATGGATTAGTTTGATGAAAGATGTTGAATGAAAGATCTTTAATGAACAAATATTCAATTTATCATTGTCTTTACTTGTATATCGTTTCTGATTTCCGAAGATTTCATTCCTCTCAATAATTTCGTTCTCTCTTCCATTCGAATCGTTCTCTCGTACGTGTAATCGGAAATATCCGAGTCTTGCTGAAAGAATTTTTTGTGAGAATTTCTCGAAATTCTAATTTCCAACCATTTCAATCACAATCACTTGCGCGTCGATTCGAAGATGATAGAGGAATTTCTCGAGATCCGTCTTCATCTGTACGTTGTTATCTTCGAGTTGAGCCACCGCGAATAGCCTAATCAAAGCATTACTTGAAGATATGCAAAAACTTGATAGTATCTTTACACAGCATTTTCAAGTACATTGTGTAAGTACATTATGTAAGTACATTGTGTAAGTAAAAAAAAGTACATTGTGCTATTTTACCTCAATTTACAGTTCTTCCACGTTTTATGCTGTCGCAAGAGGAACGGGAGAAGCATCAGTAAACCTCCATCGTGCACAACCCACCTGAAAATGTTGATGTTCAAAGTTTTTGCTTAGCTTTAGCTCGATGATTTCTTATTTTTCAAACTTTCCCACCAAACATCGATTAATCCGCTGACTTTTTGTCCAGTAGCTGGGAAATGACCCGCATTTTTTGGTACCAAAATCGCACAGCGAGCCGTTGAAATCGCGCGAATCGCCGAAACGAATCTAAAAGATGATAATTCATAATTTATATAGCTATCGTAAATACTGTAATAGTACCCCATCCCCCACGTACAGTCGCGTAGTCGCAAAAGTTTTTTAGTATTTCATTTTTTGTAAAGCACCCGTACTTTCAAAAAATGCGTCTTTGGTATCAAAAAATAGCCCTGAATTTCAGCTATTTTTTGATACCTAAGCGCGCATTATAGCATAAACCAGTGTCGAGAAAAACTCGTTCAAAGCTAGACTACGTAACGCTCCGCTCCGTCATTATGGGGGTTGGGTACTATTACAGTATTTACGGTAATTGGTTATTTAATATCAATTGCACTACGATTTCTTTGCCCAGATTTCTCAGACTGAAATATAGAAATATAGAAATATAGAAAATCCTCACTGATTTCCGACGTGCCACTTATTCTCTTCGTTCCAATGTGTTGGCCATGGAAGCATTACTGTGTTGTGTCGAAGACCCCCAAGACCCGATGTCTAAAGAAATATACACTTGGAAACAAATTCATGCAAATGGAAAGATGCAAATTCGATTTTAGTACCTGAATGAGACAAGAAATCCCATTAAGCATTGTCTCCGATACGAGCACCTCACAGAATCCTTTGATCTTATGACTTCGCACTGTCACCGCTAGTTCCTACAAGTTTTTGAATCTTTCAAATACAAAATTCTCTTTACCTCTTTTCTCTGATCGACTAAACGACCCATTTTATTGAAATCTCCTTCCATGCAAAGGGCTACCAAAGTAAGACCCTTACCCGCTTTGAGTTGAGAGACAAATGAAAGCATTCCCTGAAAAGTATCTTTGAGAATCGATATTATACTTTATCAACTAAGTATTGATAATAAAAAAAGCCTCAGATTCGAGATTAAACCTCAGATTCGGGAGTGTTGAGAGTGTCCAGAATGACGAGCATCTGGGGTCTCCAATTCCTCGTGTGCTCCTCTTTTGCCTCTAGATTCAACAAAGCGAATCTGAAAAGAGTTTATGATTATGGGAAAAGAGTTTAGTTTTTTTTGTCTCCTACCTGGCAGCCGAGAGCCCAAGTCCTCTCAATCCGTCACCCCATTCTTTCTTCGCTCCCGCGTACTCGATGTATTTGTAGCTGAAATGGTGGATAATGAAAGGACTTAAGCACTGATTAGATCCGATCCACTATTCATATCCAATCCACTGATTATATCTAATCCAATACTCACGCAGCTATCCCAATGAAAATTGCGATTAGTGCAAAATGCCAAGCTGAGACGAACATCACCACCACGCAAAGAATCGCGCCGATAAGTGAAGAGAGCCTAGGAACGGGATTTGGATTTGGAAATTTGGAAATAGCTTAAGATTTCTTTTTAGTTCTCCTTTTTTATCCAGAATAATGTACCAATGATAGTATTTGAAGCCGGGTCTCCACCCTGGGGCTCTCATCAACGATTGAAGGGCACACGACGCATTCACACCCAAATAACACATAAGGAAAAATCTGAAAGGCTCAATTTTTTTCGTGAAAGATATGTTTTATTTAAACGCACTGAGTAATCAAAGCGGTGAGACTCTCCAAAACAGCGATCAAAATCCCGCACCAGCAAAGAGCAAGAGTCAAAAAGATTGCTCGCAATGGTTCACCGCGTTTATCGAGAACATTGAATGGCTTGAGAATTGGAATCAAATCATCTAAATTGTTAAAATCAGTGTTGGATTCTTAAATTCTATTTTGATAGAATTCTATTTTGATAGAATTCTATTTGATAGAATTCTATTTGATAGGATTCTATTTGATAGAATTCTATTTGATAGAATTCTATTTGATAGAATTCTATTTTAATAGCATTCTATTTTAATATAGTAGATTGGTACCCGTAGCGATCGCTTGCAACAATCTCGGAGCTCCTGTCAACGATTGCATTCCAGCGCCCATTGTGGCAAAGAAAGAACCGATCTGTAAGAGATATAGGTTTCCTTTGTATCTATCAAATATCTAGATATCTTTCCTGAGTATAATAGGTACTAAGTAAAAGAAAAACCCATTAATATCCCACCAAAATCAATGGCGGATACGGATATGCCAATTCAGCAACGGTCAACTTTCCCGCAGCTGATCCACCAAATTTGTCCCTCATATAGACCTGAAAGATCAAAAATTTAACTAGAATTTAACTAGAATCTAGGCAAATGTTATTTAAATCGAAAAAAAATACATTAACAAGTTTAGATTCCGACTTAAACAATCACCTCATCGACGGTGGCGCCGAAGAAGATTACACCAGCGAGATCTGAAAGTGGAAAGGATTCGGTTTTCATTATAACATTATTTAAATAGTAAAATTGAATTTGTTTCATTGTCGATTTTGCTAGATTTTCTCTCCTTTTTTTCTTTTACTTACAAACAATCGATGAGGTGATCTGCGCTCCCAACGTTCCCAATGGGATCGATTTAGCCGCATCTTGGAGATTTCCCGATCGATTTGAGCCGGCCATGATTCCTAAAATGTGCTCATTTTTTGATGAAATTATAGAAAAAGTTTTTTTTGATACTTGTAAGTTAAACTCTAGCAATGGTTATGCGAGTTTATATATACCGTATTTTCTCTAATAGTATTGCACCCGGAGCGTCACCTAAATTCCTCTATATCTCGAGAACCGCTTATCATAACCTATCGATGTGGGATCGGAAAATGTAGCTGACGATGAGATCTAGTGGGGGATTAGAGTGTTGAGCTTCTGGGAAAACTTTGAAAGCAGTAAAATAGTCACCAACTCGGCTCGACTGGGTGCACTATTATTAGAGAAAATACGGTATATAAGTTTTCTCGATCTAAGTGATCATAAAAAGTTCTCGATAACTCGATAGTTTTCAAGAGGAGATTCAGGGCTATCGAATGACTATAATGGTTTAGTTTGTCTTTAAGTTTTCATAAAAATATCAATAAAACATTTAACAACTACGTGGCTGTACGTTCAAAATACCGCCATCATGAATAGAGTCTGTTCCTCTCAAGAAATAATGCACAATAGGAAACGAGTAGGAAACGAATTTAAAATAAACTGAATATCTTATAAAATTGTAGAAGATATTTAGGATATTCAGTTGATTTTGACCTACCGTAAATACTGTAATAGTATCCCACCCCCCTAATGACGGTGCGGAGTGTTACGTAGGCTAGCTTTGAACGAGTTTTTCTCGGCACTGGTTTATGCTACAATGCGCGCTTGGGTATCAAAAAATAGCCCTGAATTTCAGCTATTTTTTGATACCAAAGACGCATTTTTTGAAAGTACGGGCGCTTCGAAAAAAATGAAATACTAAAAAACTTTTGCGACTACGCGACTGTACGAGGGGGGTGGGTACTATTACAGTATTTACGGTAACTCATTCCCTATTTCACATTATTTCTTGAGAGGAACACACTCTATTCACGATGGCGGTATTTTGAACGTACAGCCACGTAGTTGTTAAATGTTTTATTGAGATTTTGATGAAAACTTAAAGATAAAATAAACTATTATAGTCATTCGATAGCCCTGAATCTCCTCTTGAAAACTATCGAGTTATTTTTCGAGTTATTGAAAACTATTTTAAACTATTGAGAACTTTGAATGTGAATGTGTTAACTCGCTTTCTTTATATAATTTTTAAAAAAAACCTGTAGCTGATGGGAAAAAAACTCCAATGAGAATCATAAACGATGTCGTCTGATCAGCGAAAATATAATAGGGACTCGCTCGTGATTTATCCGTTTTGTCTTTTGGATCCTGAATTATTAAAATCACTTTTAAATTTTGAATTTTCATAGACGCTATTTTAATCCATATCCAGCTATTATCTAACACAAACCCTAGTGATAATGGCTCCGGGTTCTTGGTGTCTCGGCCAGAGGTTCTCTTTGAAAATCCCCGAGGCGATACCCTTGAAAGCATTCTGAAAAAGGAGTATATCATTTATAAGCTTTCAGATATTCATTGATCATTGATTGATTGATTGATTAATCATCTCAATCATCTCAATCATCTCAATCATTGCTTAAAGCATCATTTTTCGATATTGTAAAGCAATATCTTTATGAAAAACCCTATATTTCTTTACAATTCCTCTAGCCTCAACGTGCTAAATGAGATTTTGAAAAAAGTGGATCGGATTTCAGCTCTCTATCCATCTTCAAAACCTTCTTTTCCACTTTTTCGTCTCATATAACAACTAATCATTTTTGTATACAATTAGAAAAACTTTTAAAATACAATTTACAATTAGAAAAGCTTTTAAAAACAAATTTATAATTAGAAAAGCTTTTAAAATCAGATTTACAATTAAAAAAGCTTTTGAAATTAAATTTATAATTAAAAAAGCTTTTAAAATCAAATTTACAATTAGGAAAGCTTTTAAAAACGAAAACACGCCTCCATTCGAATCGCTGGTTTATCGGTGCCTTTCCATCGGAGATTGTTTCGCATTCGTTGATAGTATTGATCACACGAAACACCAGGGGCTGAGTCGTTTGTCTGAAATTTTCGATTGTGATCAAGTGGATGGATCTATAGAGTCGCATTTTCTGCTACTGTACTCTATATTACAGTGATATAACTATCAAATGGTCTAGACTCCTATTTTCCTGTATGCTTTTTCTTTCGTAACTTAACTTAAAAAGAAATTTTTATCCATTTTTCATTCATTCATTCATGGGAAACAAGTGGAGTGATATTTCTATGATCTAATTTTTCAAGTAAAAACTGATGTACAACGATGTACTGATGTATAGAATCAAACATGATAAGGCTACTATCGTTCTACTATCGTTTAAAGGCTACTATCGTTCATAGTCTAATGCTGGTGTACAATGTTACAGTAATTCCAGCCTCAAATGATCTAGACTAAATTTTATATGTAAATTTTGAAAATTGATTCGAATCTCGGCGTCGACCGCATTTTGTATACCCAGCCCCAACTCATAAAAGAACCAGCTTGTCCAACTTCTGTACTAACAAGCACAAGTAAGTATAGTTCTCGATACCAGGTGTAAATACCGTATTTTCTCTAATAGTAGTGCACCCTGAGCGTTGCCTAAATTGCTCGAAATCTCGAGAACCGCTTATCAGAACATATTGATGTGGGATCGGAAAATGTAGCTGACGTGTAGCTGAAATTGTAGCTGACGTAGCTGACGTAGCCGATGTAGCTGACGAAGCCATGTAGCTGACGCAGCTGACGTAGCCGATGTAGCTGACGTAGCCGATGTAGCTGACGCAGCTGACGTAGCCGATGTAGCTGACGCAGCTGACGTAGCCGATGTAGCTGACGTAGCCGATGTAGCTGACGCAGCTGACTAGCCGATGTAGCTGACGCAGCTGACGTAGCCGATGTAGCTAACGTCGATGTAGCTGACGTAGCTGACGTAGCCGATGTAGCTGACGTAGCTGACGAAATGTAGCTGACGATGAGATTTAGTGGGGAATTTGAGTGTTGAGCTTCTGCAAAAGCTTTGAAAGCCGTAAAATAGTCATCAACTCGGCTCGCTGGGGTGCACTACTATTAGAGAAAATACGGTAGTCACTGCATAAACAAATTTTGAAAAATACATTGAACTCACCGTGCAAAAGAGTGGCTCAAGACCTTCAGCAGTACAGTCGAGCACGGTGCCGTTCTTCTCTTTAAAAAGCCCCAAATCAACCGGCCGATCACCGACCATACAATACCTAAATAACAATAAACTGATCGATTTCTAAATCTAATCTAATCTACTCTAATCAAATCCCAAATTCACTTACAGTAACGAGTCAGATCCCTTGAATTTCACCGCAACTCCCACAAACGACATCGCTATACAACTACAGACGAGAATGAGAAGTGGGAGAGCGAATTTGTTGACTACCTAAAGAATCGTCTTATCCATTATCCGTCTTATCCATTCAACTTGCCTTTACACCGGCCAGCACCACCAATCCGACGCAAATCAAAAGGCCAGTGCCGAAGAAGCGAAAGCAGTGAAAGACATTGTCGAAGATTTTTGCTTGTGGCACAATGTAGAGCTGAATATTTGCAAATGCAATAATAGCAAACATTTAGAATATTTTTCAATAAACAATTACAAACCAAGAGAATTTCGACAGCTCCCGTTATGTACATCGAGGCGGCGATCGTTGTCCCCAAATAGAAAAGGATTCCAACAGCACCACCCAACTAGAAATCAGTGATAAGCCTTTTAAGAGATAGCTTTTAAGAGATAGCTTTTAAGAGATAGCTTTTAAGAGATAGCTTTTAAGAGATAGCTTTTAAAAGATAGCTTTTAAGAGGTAGCTTTTAAGAGATAGCTTGATCAGAAAATCAGAAAATCATTTGCTTCTTTAGGTCTAATATCTATTGTTTACTTATTTTATCATTTATCACCATGATCACTTATCAAAAAAGAAACCTCTGGCCCTAAATTCCTCGATATCATATAATACGGTCCTCCTGATGAAACGACCCCATTTGTGGCTACCGCTGACAGAGAGATTGACGTGAGAAATGTCTGAAAAATTAACATTCAATTAACATTCAAAAAACATTCAAAAAAACATTCAAAAAACCCCCAATCATTTCCTATAAAACAAACCACAGAAACGCAAATGAAGACAACGAAAAACGCTTGCACGATTCCCGAACATCCAATGATCCACGTGAGACGAATGAAGAAAAGAACGCCGAAAATATTTTGAAGACAAGGCAAATAGACGCCCATAAATGTGCCCATTTTTGCCATCTGAAAAATGAATGATATTAGACTACCGTAAATATTGTAATTGGACCCCACCCCCCCTCGTACAGTCGCGTAGTCGCAAATTTCATTTTTTCATTTTTTTCAAAGCGCCCGTACTTTCAAAAAATGCGTCTTTGGTAACAAAAAATAGCAGAAATTCAGGGCTATTTTTTGATACCTAAGCGCGCATTGTAGCATAAACCAGTGTCGAGAAAAACTCGTTCAAAGCTAGACTACGCAACACTCCGCCGGGCGAACGGTCTACCAATGAGCCACACCAAACACGTATTCATTGCCGCCAATGGTAGGGTTTTATACCTTTCTTTGACCCAGAGGGTTTAAAACCTTATACCCAAGGAGCATACAGGTTTTTGGCTATTTGCAAATACAAAATACTATAAACTTTTATTTTTTAGATAATCGCATCAAGAAAATTGAGGGTTGCCTGCCCAAATGTCTGCCCGAAAAAGTCGATCCACTTAGATAGTCTATAACTCGAGGTATGGAAGCTGAATCAACTCATGGTTGATTTTATTGGAATCTTCATAGAGTATCTTCGGTATCGGTTTGATAGTATTTTGTATTCTCATACGAATGCTCGCCGGTGTTCCCTCAAACTCATACTTTCATCTTCTCCATCCTCAATGAGTATTTTAGGTGGACGGGATGGGGATCCGTTTCTCTTTTCTCTTTTCTCAATCTTTCTTACTTCATTCTACACACATATCCCATCTTTCTCCTCATTTTCATCAAAAAAAAAGAGATCGGATTCGATTACATGCACACACTCTCTTTCACCTTGCACACAACTGTTACTTTTTGGCCCTTTTTCTCTTCATCTACTTGTGGTTTTTACCAAAAGGACACACACTAAAATATCCGCTTCAGAGAGGAAGAAGTCCAGAGAGGAAGAAGTTTCCAAGGGAATGAGTTGAAGTGTCGTGTTCAATTTGAGAGGAAAAGAGTTGAGGGAAATGCTTGAAGGCTACAAAGATCCTACAAATACCCACTAAGTAATTACCATCTCTAACTGATGGTAATTCAAATTTTTCATCTCTAACTGATTCGTATAAAAATCTGAGCTCAGTGCTTTCCCTTTCTCTTCAGAAGAACAAAGCTCTTTTCTCCTTTTTCTTTCGCAAATGGGATTCCGATAATTTTTATGGGCTATTTGACGAGATTCCCCTTTAAAAGACCCCAAATTTTATTGAGAGAAATTTTTCGGAGCTTTATGAGAGCTTTAGCCGGGAAGGGTTAATCCCAATTAGTTTGGGGATTATTGGGGTATTCAATGAAGCGTCTATCAATCATCCAATGAAAATGAATCCAATGAATTCATTTTCAGTCTCTCCATACATGTATTTTTGAATTTATTTTTGATCAAGTGAATAGGAGATCAATTGAGAAAAGCTTTGGATGTTGATAAGGGTGTTGAATGTTGAGTGTTGAGTGTGGTTGAGTGTTGTTGAATGAATGTTGAGTTGAGGTATTGAGCAAGTGCATAGGAGATTAATTGAGAAAAGCTTTAGATGTTGATAAGGATGTTGATAAGGATGTTGATAAGGATGTTGAGTGTTGAGTGTTGAGTGTTGAGTGTTGAGTGTTGTTGAGTGTTGTTGAATGAATGTTGAGTTGAGGTATTGAGCAAGTGCATAGGAGATCAATTGAGAAAAGCTTTAGATGTTGATAAGGATGTTGATAAGGATGTTGATAAGGATGTTGAGTGTTGAGTGTTGAGTGTTGTTGAGTGTTGTTGAATGAATGTTGAGTTGAGGTATTGAGCAAATTGATACGGTACTATCGATACGGATTTAAGTGATTATTTCGTTGATTTTAATCTATAAAAGACGGGAAAAGAACATGAAAATGATGCCTTTTGAATTGAATGCCATTTTGATGATTCTTTTACAAGTTTCAGCAGCTGAAACTGACCGGTTTATTCCTCGGCTTCTCCTCAGTATCCCCACCAGCGCATGGGGGTTGCTCGCTGTACATTGACAATGATTTAAGCATATTACCGATACGTTGACCCTGTGTGTTGTAGTCTTCCTGTAATTGGGAGAACATTTTCGGTTACTCTAAAATAACTCTAAAATAACTCTAAATAACTCTAAAATAACTCTAAATAACTCTAAATAACTCTAAATAACTCCAAAATAAATGTTAAACGGAAATCGATTCACATATTTTATGAAATTGATGAAACTGTTCAAATATATTTCAAATAAATCTTTCTCAAACTTTCTCAAACTTCCTCAATCTTCAAAACTTACATCATATAGAGCCAGTGGAGATCTCTGCTCGCAAAGGGGCACTCGTTCAGCTCCATCTTCTGTAACATTTTGACATTTATTTGTTTAAAGTTTCCTTTTCAAATTAAGTTTTTCCTTTAAGATCATTGATTTAGCGAATGGACAACAGCTGTCTTCTCCTCTTTTTTCCTTTTTTCCTTTTTTTCCCTTTTTTCCTCGTTTTTCACTCATTGATCACACTCCACAAGAATTGACTTTTTTTTTGAGATAAAGAGGAAATTAAGGAATTTTTGGTACTTGAAGTATGATGAAAAGTGAAGATTGAAGAGTAAACAAGGCTTGAAGGCTTATGGTTTATGGCTTTGGCTTATTGGCTTATGACTTATGGCTTTGGCTTATGGCTTATGGCTTGAAGAAGATGTCCATCATCTTTTAAGTAATCGTGATAAATGAGAAGAGAGGTGATCAAGATTTGATGATGATAAAATAAGTTTAAAAAATAAAATACTGTAAGTGTGAAAGAGCCAAAAGATAATAAATCTTCTATTCTTTTATCTGGTAAATTTCAAGGATCTTTAGACTTTGTCATAACTCAAAAAAGGCAAGTTTAGCTGTGAGTAGGTTCTGCTAACTATAAAGCTCTATTAGCTGTGCTCTATTAGCTCTATTAGTTAAGCTCTATCAGCTCTATAAGCTAAGCTCTATTATCTCTATTAGTTAAGCTCTATTAGCTCTATTAGCTCTATTAGTTTTTTGGCTACAATAGATTCTTATTTACAATTAATAGACAGTTGAACTTGTACCAAATTTTGTAACACAATTTTTTCCTTTTAGAAGTTTTTCGGAGAAGCGAACGGTCCCCTCGACGCCTGCCTCCGGGAGATAATCCGGGAGACATAAAGGGCAGAGATTCCTTTGATAAACCTCTCTTTTGTCCCTTTCCCATTCTTCTTTTCTCTCTTTCCAATTCTGCTTTTCTTACGATAAAACATCAACTTTCCCCGATTGATAAGTGATCACCCTATTTTTTTCTCAGCCTTTTTTATCGTTTTTCCCATAGCAGACCACAGAGCGCTACCTCATCACTGCAATTCCGAAAATAGCAAAAATGGAAAAGAATTTGAGAACTTTGAGAACTTTGAAGAGATTATAGAGAAAATATTCTTATTTTTGTTATGAGTAAGCACTGGGATACACGCAGATTTGCAAAACTAATAGCATAGACTCTTCGTGTAGGTCTTGGAAGGCAAATCCGGGAATATATGGTGGATAATTACCGTAGGATTTACCTAGAGCTAGGCCAGAGCTGTAAGCTAGGCCAGACAAAACCAAGGCCTTCGGGCCAAGATAGTTCTAAAAGCAATTTTTCAGTCAGACAGCCATTTTTCAGCCACTAGAACTGACCTTTAGCTCTAACAAAACAATCTAACAAGCTCTAACAATGAGTTTTGACCTGGCTTGGTCTTGTCTGGCCTAGCTTACAAGCTCTGGCCTAGCTTACAAGCTCTGGCCTAGCTCTGGGTAAATCCTACGGTAAACTATCCACCATATATTCCCGGATTTGCCTTCAAAGACCTACACGAAGAGTCTATGCAATTATTTTTTGCAAATTTGATCCATTCCGGATGTGAAATGTTGAAAAGTGTTCCTTTTTTTAGGGTCCCTTTGGGAGTGAAAGGAAAGTTGAAGGGACTAACGACGTCGAGATCTGTGCTTCTCTCTCCCATCTTTCTCTTCTTTTCCAACTCTAAGCCTATCTCATACCCATGCCCATATTTCTTTAAAAAGAAGCCAACAGCATCTTGCCTTCTTTCCTTTTAAAACCATTAGACTGAATGCATATGCATGAGTTTTCCCAAAACCGAGAGCTCTTCTGAAATAAGTGGGTGTGAGATAGTGCTTATGTAGTATGAGAAGGATTTTCCAACAACGACAGTGTTGGAGTTGTTGGAAAATCCTTCTCATACTACGAGAACCTAGTGCTTTTTTTTTGAAACAACAAAGTTTACCAAAGTATTTGATGAAATAGTTTTTAGAGAGAAGAAAGTTTTGACTGGGAATCACTGGGAATCGCTGGGAAACACTGGGAATCATCGAGTGACTCAAAGATTGACTCAAAGAGTGTCCTTGGTGTTGACAGGGTTAAAACTCTTTCCACAGTACTGAAACTAACGGAAATAGATCGGAAATTTAAACGGAATGTAAACGGAATGTAAACGAAAATATAATATTAGACTAGATTTGTTTACTTTTATCAATTCAATTGTCGATAGGTGACGAAAAAAACGAGATTAAACCACTTAAACAATTACTTTTTCAGGATTTCTTGCTACACTTGCTCTAAAGCGTTGAAAAAAGTAATCGTTCAAGTGTTCTAATCTTGTTTTTCCGTTGTACATCTATTGACAATTGGAAGAGTGAATATTTATATCCGAATCCTTTCGGCGAACAACTTTTCCCCAAAAATGAATCCATTTCAGGGTAATAAAATGTCGAAAAAAGCAAACTCAAATCAGATTCACCAATCGTTTCTCCTTTTTTCTTCCCTCAATTCCTCTCATCTAATGGGTTTGTGTGCACCTGGACCTTTCTCTCTTCATTCAATCTCTCTTTCTCTCATCTACTCCATCCCTTTCCCCTTCACACGCCGTCAATTAGATTGTGCCCTCCTATGTGGCCGAGATGGCTGCATACTTTCCCCTATTTCTCGACAAAAGTTGAGTGTGCCAGTGGGCTAGAGAGAGAGGGAGAACTGTTATGAATTTTGAGTGCTTATGTGGGGTGAATGGGCAGTTTGTTGACTGGATTGTTGACTGGATTCTTTGCCCTGATCTTCTTTTCTCTGATAGGATCAGTGTAGACACTTGGACGAGAGGGGAAATGAGGGCAGACAAGGGAACGAACGAGATATACAACTCACTGAATAAACAAGGAGACGAAGCCTGTTGTGATAAAAGTTTGGATTTGGAATATTGATTGGAAAGGGAAGAGGACAGATAGCAGACTGTGACAGTTGAAATTCGAAAGGTTAGGGCAAGCGTTGGCTTGGAAACAAGCTTTTCTTGTCCAAAGAACAGCTCAAAGCCATTCTTGAACAGTTCAAAGCCATTCTCTGACCACCATAAGGCTCAGATCTATTTTGCTGATCTATGCCAATGAGCTTATCCAAAAATCCCTTCAAAATTCATTCCTCTCATCATTTTTGGTTGAACTCTTGTCCTTCACGCAACTCCTCATCCCTGTCCTCAAGGCTTTCGAAAGTGGAAAGGCTTCAATTGTGTCTTTTGCCCCTAAAGGTCCCACTTCTCGAAAAGAAAAGAAAAAGTCTATGAAGGAGTCTTGAAGGAGACACACCTTTCACACACAGGAGAAGACTGGGAAAATGGGGAACTTCCAATAGGATTTCCATCGGACCCCCCTATGTGCGGAGAAGTCCCCTTTCCAATGAAATTCCCCCATAAGCACATTTGGCGCTCTCTCTGCCCCTTCTATAGCCCCATCCCTTTCCCATGTTTTGCCCTTGTCCCTTTCTAATGCTCTCTTCAAAAATGCCTCCTGAAATCCCACAAATGGATTGAGGCCAGTGCTTTTTTTGGGGGGAAAGATGGGTTTGATGGAGAGGAGAGCCGTTTGAAATGCGCTTAGAGAAATTAGCTCATTTGTATTGGAGGATAAGAGCTCCAGAGCTCTTAGATCTTCTCCCGAGCTCTGGGGATTCATCTTTGTTTTGATAGCTTAGCTTGGTTTTAAAGCAATTGAATAACAGCAATTGTATCTGGATTATAGTTTATTTTGGTTTAATTCTAGCTATTCCTAGAGTTCCTAGAATTCTTCATTTTGCGCTTCAATGAAAATTGTTAATTTGTAAAAAAAAAAGGTAGAAGATTAGTGAGGAAAGAGAAAAAGAGAAAGGAAGATAAAATTGGCATTTGTTTGTAGAGTCTAGAGGGAAAAGAGTGAAATGGATGGGCTAATTAGAATTGAAATGGGGCCATGATTTCCATAGAGACCCAAAATCCCCATTCACTCGCAAATTTGCACTTATTGTATGCGATTCGGTGATAGGAATAGCTTGAAAGAGGTGATAGGAATAGCTTCAAGTGCTTAAAATGATTCTCATTTCAAGCACTTGAAAAAGATTCTCATTTCTACAAGGTCAATGAGAAAAAAGCCTCATAAATCAGCTATTAGGCAGCTTTCAAGCTACAGATGTGAAGCTGATTGCTAGCAAAGGCTTACTATTGCCCAACCTCACTCGAATCTAGTCTGAAATCTGGCTGAACACATCAACTCAACATCCAACATCTTTATATAAAGCTTTTCTCTAACCCTATCTCTTACAAATCATTATTTCCCCTGATTTCCCTGACTCAATGTATTCAAAAACTCGTATGAATCACCGTCTCTTCAACATTTCTCATTTCTTGCCATTGTTTCTTGCCATCTCAGACTCTCAAAGCTCATAAAAAGGATGACGGGGCAAGAAAAATGGAACCGCCGATTTTGTGTGCTTTTGATAGCTTTTTTTTGCGGAAAGATGAAGATTCAATTCATATTGACTGACCAGTTCACACAAAAGAATCAAGGATGATGAAAAAGGCTATGAGAAAAGCAAATAATGAAAAAGAAAAAGGAATTAAGAGGGGGAAAAAAAATGGGAATGGACACCCCTCGATGGACGGCAGTTTCTATTTGCTTTTATGGGATGAAAAAGGAGGGAATCAGTTGAAAAGATGCCTTTAAGGGTTTTAAAGCAAATAATAATGATACTTTATTCATAAAGTATCCCTTAAACCCTTAAAGGCATCTTTTCAACTGATTCAGATGATAGAGTGAAACCCGAAAGTGAAACCCGAAATCCCAACCCAAATTTTGTGGAATCCTAATTGTAGTTTTACTGTACTTTACTAGTTTTCTTTCTTTTTTGTGAAAGTATTATAGCAATATGTTATATGCGGTTATGATTGTCTGATTATCTGATTATCGGTTATCGGTTATCTGATTCGCTTCTATTCGCCCCCTGAATAAAGCATATAGCATATAACATGAAAGCATATATAGCTGAATATATACCGTATTTTCTCTAATAATAGTGCACCAAAGCGAGCCGAGTTGATGACGATTTTATGATTTCCAAGCTTTTACAGAAGCTCAACACTCTAATCCCCCACTAGATCTCATCGTCAGCTACATTTCGTCAGCTAAGTCAGCTACGTCAGCTACGTCAGCTACATCGGCTACATCGGCTACGTCAGCTAAGCCAGCTACGTCAGCTACGTCAGCTACGTCAGCTACGTCAGCTAAGCCAGCTACGTCAGCTAAGTCAGCTACATTTTCCGATCCCACATCGATAGGTTCTGATAAGCGGTTCTCGAGATTTCGAGGAATTTAGGCAAAGCTTTGGGTGCACTACTATTAGAGAAAATACGATATATATAAAAGGAGGGAATCAGTTGAAAAGATGCCTTTAAGAGTTTAAAGCAAATAATAATAATAATGATGCTTTATTCAGATGATATAGTGAAATCAAATAAATCATCAATGATCTAGATCATAGTTGAAGTTGATTTTCTGCCATAACCGTAATCTACTTCTACCAGAATAAAGGTAAATTAGACAGTGCTTCTAGACAGGTCAGAATGTAGCTTCTCTTGAATTCAAATCCTTTTCAACTAGAACACGGTAGTGATCTGGAAAACAATCTGGAAAACAATCTGGACAAAACACTTTAAAAAGCTTAACAAATAAATTTTGTGTAGCGTGTCTGTCTCCTTTTGCTTTAAAATCTTCTCATCTCCATCCCTCTTTCCACTAATCAATTGCTCTTTAATGAAAAGAAAAGAAGAACTAAATGACTCTCTTTTTTAAAACAAAAAAAGAACGAAATTGCGAGCTTTACTTCTTCTCTTCCCTCCCCTCACTTCAACTAATTCTTTTCTGTTCTATATTCTGCTAAAGAAGAGTCGATTTTTGGTGGAATCTCTTTCCAAAGAGCGAACTTTTCACTTCTCATTCTCAAAAAGAGAATGTTTTCAAGGATGACCACCTGACGCTTTCCTATGTAAAAGAGATATCTTTTTTGCTCAGAAAACGAAAATTTTCTCCTCAGAAAAGGATCATTTATTCTCGTGTTGAGGGATATAATTTGTCGCCACTGGAATATTCTTTTGGCTTTCAGAAAGAATTTCTTAGCTCTATTTCTTAGCTTGAAAACAATCAAACAATCAATTGAAAAATCGAGCTAGATTGAGCTAGACGATCTAGAATTTTCCAGTGGAAAGCAGATCAAGAATTAATCATCAAATATAATCAAATCATCAATGATCTTTTGCGAATTGAGCATTCGCAAAAGGCTTATTTATTGGGGATCTAGAAAAAGGTTGAATTTTTTGATGGGTTATTTGTAAAAATATCTCCGCTTTGCTATATTGTTTATAAATTTCACATAAGCGCGCGTTTTCCCGCTTTTTTTAGAGCTAAAAACGGATGGATTTTTTTTCGGACAAAGGCCCAACGAAGAAGTGAGAATAAGGGGGGGAGACATGGATGTATGTACATATCGACAGGGGAAACGAGAAAGGACACATGGCACAGGAGGGACTCACTCCATAATGAGGGCATATCCACACCGGGGAAAGGGCGGGTAAAGTTTCCGTTTCTCGTCACTCCATACATTTTCTTTTTATTTTTGCATTAGAAATCTGCTAGTCTTGCAGCTAGTCTTGCAAGTTGCATTCAAGAAACGAAAATTGACCAACCAGTCTTGCCGGGTATCTGAATAGCCACTGAGTTGGCGGTGAGAGAATTTGGAGGAGGTGGATCATTTGATGAATCTCTTAATGATCCACCTGGGTCAGGAGACGAGGAATGGTCTACAGTGGACACTTGAAAGCGACCACCCGACATGGTAAAGTCGAGTAAAAATGAAGAGGAAGAAAAAATGGAGAGAAGTGGAAAACTGGGGCTATGGAAAAGATAGACGAGAGTGCAGAGATGGGGAAAGCCCCACCCAGAAAGAGACAGACAGCCAGAGAGCACAGATAAAGGGGTGCCCTGTGGGGCTCTTCACAGCCTCTTTCTCTTTCAGGGGAAGGAGCATCACTCTTTTGTGGAGAAATCAAATGATCAAACGATTTGATTATATTTGATGATATTTGATGATTAATTCTTGATCTGCTTTCCGCTGGAAAATTCTAGATCGTTTATGAGATTGTTTTTTTTGATTGGGAAGTGGATTTGAATGAAAAGATCGAATAGGAAGAAGAAGAGGGAGAGGAAGAGGAAGAAGAAGAAGAGGAATACAAAGAGGAAGAGGAATACAAAGATGAATACAAAGAGGAAGAGAAAGAAAGAGAAGGAAGTGAACAAAAACAGAGATTGAAGAGTTTTATTGTTCAAGTTTTGAGAAATTGCTTAGCTTAAAAGGTTTTAGCGCAAAAACTAACTGTTAAACTGTGTTTGGTTAACTGAATATCGAGATTTTCTTAAATAATCTATCCCTAAACCTAAAGAAATCAAGCCAAGATATCCATTTACAAATCTATACAAATAAAATAGATTTTATTGTACCCAACACTATTTCTCAATTACTTTTAAACAAAAAAAACGAACCGATTGAGCGCTTTTTCTCAGCATTTCGGCCCATCTCGTAATTTCATTGAATTCAAAAATTAGAAGATGAAATTCGCTCAGAAATTTTCGAGGAAATCAAACCACACCAGTTTCAGTTTCAAGGGTTCCGTAGCGCATCCAGAACGATTCGTTATATGAAGTTGAATTGAATGGTGATGATCGCTGAGATGAGAGAATTGATGAGAGCTCAACCACCCTCTTTTTCTTCTCCACTTCTTTCCTTTGATACCCTTTTCTTTTATCTTTTCCACACCAAATCGGGGCTTCGTGTCTCGATCATTTCTCGCCTGTCAAATTAGTGATTTTGTTGAAAATTTTCTTGAAATCGAACAAATTGGGAGGAAAATTCCCGAAGAGATCAAAAGTGGACAAGAAATTGAGAAGAAAACAAGGAACACGATTGCGCATGATCGAATAAGGATCGGGAAAAGAAAAAAGAGAATGGAATCATTGTGATTTGATTGATTGGAAAAGGAAATATCAGAGCACGTGTGAAAGTTGTGAACGATAAAACAAAAGTTCTGAGAACGATCTAACTCCAGATCTTGGAGAACGATCTAACTCCAGATCTTGGAGAACGATCTAACTCCAGATCTGGAGACGATCAACATCTGGACCAGATCTTGGAGCGATCTAACTCAGTCTTGGGAAGATCTAACTCCAGATCTTGGAGAACGATCTAATTCCAGATCTTGGAGAACGATCTAACGATCTAACTCCAGAGCTTTCCTTGGCCACCGTTCTTCAAGAGTATCATCTTGATGTCAAGTGACGTCCTCATTACAAAGCATTTGCGGACTCAAAAACGGAATACCTATCCATCTGGGACGTGTGCCAGATGAAAAACGATTACGCGGCTGCACAAAGAACATCTCACGATCACTTTACACAGGGATTTTCTTTTGCTTTGTAAATTGTACAGAAAGAAGAACTTCATCTAAAAATTTGTACTTAGGGGTTTTCGGGAAAAGGCAATCGATTAGGAATGTTCATTTTACTGCATCTATCTAGCTTACCTTCCCATTCCTCTAACTCAAAATCGTAACTAAAGTTTAGCCCTTTGCATTGTCAAAATCTGTCAATTTTCGGAAATGCTTGTCTAAAAATTTGACGGTTGTTTTAAAATTTGACACGTTTTAGAAAACACTTTCTACTTGTAGTTGTGATGCAATTTACAATCTTTTTCTATTTTTCCATTCAAGTTCTTTTCATCTAATTTCCCACGTACTAGCATTGAATGTTCTAGATGTTCTAAGATGTTCTAAGATGTTCTAAGATGCTCTAAGATGTTCTAAGATGTTCTAAGATGTTCTAGATGTTCTAAGATGTTCTAAGATGTTCTAAGAATGTTCTAAGATGTTCTAAGAATGTTCTAAGATCATTTCTAAGATAGATAATCATTTCTAAGAAATTGCAAGAGATAAAAACTAGAACAACATCTTTTGCAATCAATTTTTTTTCCTGGCAGACAAAACATCTCGATTTTTTGGAAATGAAATCTATGAGTGAAGGGAAAAAAATGTGTAATTGAGAACGGGGAAATTATATCCAATTAGTGAGATTCACGAGTTTAGTCTTCAACGAAAAAGTTCAACAGTTTTGAAATTTTCGGGGGAAACCCTGAGCTTTCGGTGAGAAATAGTTGAAATCGATGATCAATTGATGAAAGAAATAAAAGAAAAGTGTTATTTCAAAGAATCATTCAAAAGTTTTGAACTGTTTCATGAGTTGAATAGAGCCTTGAAAAGGTCGTTCTTTCAAAGATTTCTGATTCATTTTTGTAAGGTCTAAATGGAAAGAAGACTTTCAGAAGATTTAAAAAATAGATTTTTACAAAGATTTCCTTTCGTAACTCTAGATTTGAATGTAAAAGTTTATCAAATATTTGAATAGAGCCTAGAGAAGGTCGTTCTTTCAAAGATTTCTGATTCATTTCTGATCAAATCAAAAGTTTATCAAATAACAACTCTCTAAAGGTTTTAAAAGCTATAAGATTGAGATGTTGAAAGTTTGAGGTTTAAGGAAAGGGAAGGGAATGGAATGGAATGGAATGGAATGGAAGGGAATGGAAGGGAAGGGAAGGGAAGGGAAGGAAAGGGAAGGGAAGGGAAGGGAAGGGAAGGGAATGGGAAGGGAAGGAAAAGGCTTAGGCTTAAGATTCAAAGTATGACGTTAGAAGTTTCACAAGTTAAACTTTGTAAACTTCACAAAGAGATTTATTTTAATATAATGTGCCTAATTGCAATAAAGCATTGCAGCATAAAGCAAGCAATAAAGCATTGCAGCAAGCATTTGCATTGCATTTAAATTCTATTAGGTTGATGCATAAGTGTTTTTGTTCCTTTTCGTCTGCCGTTTCAAGCCAACAAATGCACGAATTAAACTACGGTTGATTTCATTAGAAAACCAATTATTTTCTGCAAAATAACATTAAAACGGGTTAAAAATATTTAATGCCTGGATTTTCTTGAGAGTATGAAGTCGGGTAGTCAAAAAGGGCTAACTCGATGATGCGGTTTAGACACCTTAGCTAAAGAAAACCTATCTTCGTGTCAATAGATAAAAGAAGGAAAAACGTTTGATATTCGCCAAAATTTCAGAGAAATCATTCAGCCAATTTTTCCGTAGAGTTTTTATAGATTTTACGAAAAAGGCGTTTTCACTCTCGAATTTGCTTCAAAGGAACCGAAATTCATTTAAAAGATGCAAATTGAACAAAAAAACACTTTTTATGAGCAAACTATAGATTAATTGGTGAATTTGTTACTTTTTAACAGAAGTACGAAAAAAACGAAAAGACTTTTGCATCAACCTATTAATTGAAATGTTAAATTTTGGAGTTAATGACAAGTGAGTCAGAATTGAATCAAATCAGATAGATCTGGAGTTAGATCGTTCTCAGAACTTTTCTTTTATCGTTCACAACTTTCACACGTGCTCATAGTGAAATTCTTGATGTTTCTCAAGAGATAGGATTTAAAAGATTCGCATAAATCATCAAAAAAAAATGAAACAAAACGATATTGATCAAATTCAATATATAACAGAAAAATATAGTTAAGATTCAAGTTTAAGAGTGTTCAACAAGTTTTTCTTGTCATTGAATGCCTCTTAAAATAGAAATCGAAATTTTGAAGCCCTATTTACAAGTGAATAGAGACAAACTCTTTCAAAGCAAAAATAAGACTTCAATAGAAAAACTAAAGGATAAAAATGACGATAAAAATTGCCGGTTGATCCAACCAGCACGATTCAACCAGCACAATCCAACCGGCATAATCCAACCAGCACGATCCAACCAGCACGATCCAACCAGCACGATCCAACCAGCATGATCCAACCGGCACAATCCAACCGGCACAATCCAACCAGCACGATCCAACCGGCACAATCCTTGTGTGATCCACAGGTGTTCCCCAAATAGGATTTTTAAAGAAAAAAAAGAAAGAGATGAAGTCAAGTGAGGACTTGAGGGAAAAGCTTTGCAAAAAAAGTGAATTTTTCCCTTTTTTTTCTTTCCTCTCTTTTCAAAGTACCTTTAGACCCGTGTACGGCAATTTTCCCTCAGAAGAAAAAGGAAAAAAATCGCAAGGGAAATCTGTGAAGGGAAAAAGGGAAGGGGCCGATCAAATTCCCTCTAAAGACCCTTGAAGAAGGAAAAGGAAAAAAAAAGGTATTTCTGAAATTTTTTAGATTTTTCTCTTGCTTGAGGGCAATTTAGGGGAAGGGGAGGCCTGGATGAGGTGGGTTTAAGAACTCCCCGCTATGGCTCTTTTTCTAACTTTGTGAGGGGAAGAGAATTGCACCTTTTGAACAGAACTCCGATGGAGGGGACTGCTGAACGTGAAGGGAGGAATTCGTTCATCCCCTCACATCATCAACCCCCTTCAGCTTAACATCAGCTTATCAAAAAGAAAAGAAAAGAAAGTCTAACAATCCTTTTCTAAGGAAAACAAGTTCAATTAAAAACTGATAAACATTCTTGAACGTCTTGAGTTCTTTCTAGAGTCTTGAGTTCTTGCTAGAGTCTTGAGTTCTTTCTAGAGTCTTGAGTTCTTGCTAGAGTCTTGAGTTCTAGAGTCTTGAGTTCTTACTAGAGTCTTGAGTTCTTTCTAGAGTCTTGAGTTCTTGCTAGAGTCTTGAGTTCTTTCTAGAGTCTTGAGTTCTTGCTAGAGTCTTGAGTTCTAGAGTCTTGAGTTCTTACTAGAGTCTTGAGTTCTTTCTAGAGTCTTGAGTTCTTGCTAGAGTCTTGAGTTCTTGCTAGTGTATTCAAA